AATTAACAGAAGACAAACAAAAACACAGTTTTCTGTGTTCACAAATAGAGAAACCTTAAAAAGAATTATTTATGTTTCCTGTAAAGAATATACTTAAGATAAACCTAACTTAAATGTTAATAAACTAATAAACTCTATTTTTATTAAAAAATAGATTGGATTGTGAATCCTATACGACCAAATCTTGCATAGTGAGTGCCAAATATTATATGTAGCACGAATTCGCTGTTCTATTTGTTAGCTTCCCACCACATCAAAAAGTGGAGGCCCACCATAAGGGGCAGGAAATCATTTATTAAGGTATCGAGTTCTGACTTTTTACAAGCATGTTCTTTTCAAACTATCCCAAAAAAAAATTAATAATATTTTTGCTTAAATATTGTCACTTAAACACGGAAATGCGGTGGTGACGCTCAACCCCACTATGTCGGATTTACATATTTAACAGGGCTTTAATAAGCTTACATCACGGGGTGCGGTATATGCTGTAGCTTCCATTCCTCTTTTACAAGCTTTCTGAGACTCAAAGCTAGGGATTTTCTCATTGATAATGTTATCGACTCTTTAAGTAATCTTTAATAAACCGCTAGTTGTCACTATGGTAGCTGGTGTCCACATGCTCTACTACTTCACCAAGTAAATCCTACATATTATAATTTGATATACCACTGCTCAGCCTGTGATATGTATACTACAACTTTACACAATGACATGACTAAAAAGTTTAACTATTAGAATTACAAAACAGAAGAGGATAAGGTGTCCTCTGGAACGGACTTGCTTAATTCCTGAAAAGCGAAGCTTTATTTCATTTTTTCCTATATTAAAATTATGATGAAAGCATTAACATCAAGTGGGTTTTAAAATAAAAGGCCACACGGCGGAAGCTGTCGAGCGCTTTAAAACTAGCTACACGACAGACGCTTTCTATTTGTTATGGAGACGATACCTTTAGCTTGTAGCAAAACTTAAATATTTTTTTTGTTTAGTTGCAGGGTAAAAAATTTGTTAATAGTGCGCTTACTATACCTTCCTGATTTATTTAAACATTTCTTCGGCTAAGTTACTAATGTCATTCATCAGAAGTCTGCGAGGGAACTAGTTTTACAGGTGTTAGTATTCAATACCTTAATAAATGAATCCCTGCTCCTTTCAGGTAGGTGGCCACTTTTTAACGTAGTGGAAAATCTAACGACGCAGGACCTGATCCAATATGGTTTTCTGCAACGCTATAACGACTTGTGTACGTTTACAATGTCTCGACAATGTATTTGAACAGGCACCCAAAGTCAGCAAGTTCAAAAAACTGGTGTTATGCTAGAAAGACACACGACCCTAAGCGTATATTGAAAAAATCCAACGCAAAGTTGCTATTTAAGAAGTAGAAGACTCCTTGCCCGGAATGTTAAAGAAAGGACACAATGCCAAAGTATACATTTAAAAGTTAAAATTACGAACCTTTTTATGAGTGTGATCAAGTCACTACCATTATATCAATTAATACATCATTTAAGCATTATAAAAAAAAAATTAGATACCGGGCCTGATTGATTTCCCACCCTCCAAAGGCACGCTAAAATTCTTTATGAGGGTGTTCTTTTTATTTAACCTTGCGCCCACTTATAAGTAACTGTTTGGTGTAAAAATAAATTTAGCAATGAGGTGTATTAAAGCAGATCTAATCCATTGCTATTAGGTGTTTATCACTATTTGTATATTTCTCTTTTGAAGTTGATTTATTTATGCATGTAAAACATATTAATAGGTGGAGATTATATTTATAAACATTTTTTTTAATACGATGGCTTTTTCAGGGTACTACACATATAAATTAGCTATTAACATCTTTTGAAAATAACTATTTGTTAATTGTAACTTAAAGAGCAGCTTTTATAATAAAAAAGTCCTAGTTCTCCAATTAATTTATTTGTCAGGAGAAAATCGCCTAAATCGTGACAAGTTAGGGTAGAATATCAATATGGTAACTTTTAATGCATCGAAAAAGTTTCTCTTCGAAGTTAAAAGTGCCATTAATTATGGCTTAACGGTTTTGTTTTAACTTGTTATTAAGTTATAATGATGAAACCAGTTCAGTTTATTTTTTTATATCCCCTCACACCAAACTAACTTCAACGTTATAAAGTAAATAACTTTATCCAAGCGAAGCGGCTGTTCGTTCGCCTACCTTGGGGCCCAAAACCAAAAGAGCGATTCTTGAGAGAGCTTATAAGAAATATAATTTTTTTAAATGCGCTTGGAAATATTTGATACCAGTGCTGTATAATTTTTTTTTTTGATTTCGTTACCCCTTGAAAAAGGAGGTTATTAGTATTAGGTGATTGGCAAATCTTTAGAATTGATATAATAGTTAAAGCAAAGAACATAATCATTAACATTATTGTAATTCAAAAGTAAAAAGTTGCTTCTTGTAGAAAACCATATAGAGAACACTAAACCACCCATTAACAAGGTTTAAGTTAGCTCAATTTTGTAATAATAACTTAGAGTATAAATATTGTAAATAAAATTAGTTATTAAATAACCACCCCTTCGTGAAGGAAATAAAACGGCCGAAAATGATGGGGATAAAGCTACTCTTTTCGCCAGTTTGCTATTCAAATCGTGCCAGCTGCTCACTTGACTGCTACTGATGATGCGTTCCCCCAGCTGGGCGTACCCCTCCTGGTTTACAACGAATCACATAATCTACTTAATGTTGACGAGGTGCAAGCAATTGTCGAAGCGCTACCTAAAAGAAAAGAAAGTGCTTGGCCCCGAAGGCATCACTAATGAGATGCAGAAGAAAATGCCATTTATAGGGATGCACTATCTTTTACTCTCTTATAAAATCTTCGATGGAAGACAGCGATCGATGTGCTGCCACCAAAAACACAAACCAGAACGGACATCTAGCGAGTACCGACCGACAGCCTAGTATTGACGGCAGGCAAAGTGGGAGAGGTCGTTTTACTGCGACGTCTTAAAGAAGTCGGAAAGTTTTACCGGCGTTTCAGTTTGGATTTCGGCAAGGGCACTCAAACGACCCAGCAGCTTTCACCGCTTAACTTAATGTACCACTCGGACTTTTAACCATAAGAAGGTAACAGGCGCTGTCTGTCTTGACGTTAAAAATCATTTGATCAAGTTTGCCATGAAGGTCTGCTGCACAAACTGAGCTCGTTATCCGTCCCTCATGGTTTTATAACGCGCTGAGATCATACAGGAATGACCGCGTCTTCAGCGTGCGGGTGGGAGATACCCGGCCGCCGCTTCGATCTCTGACAGCGGGGGTCCCTTAGAGATTACTTCTCTAACTCCTTTTATTTGCAATTTACATGTGCGACGTGCCCTTGCCGTCCGACCCAGACACACGAATTGCCCCCTACGCTGATGATACGGCCGTATATCCCTCTTCGAAATCTCCCGCCTTGCTATGCATGCATTTACAGCGCTATCTTGACGCCCTTGCCGTCCGGTGCCGTGATTGGAAGGTCGATGAAGAGCAAAGCTATATTAATTTAAAAAAACGCGTTCTTTTCTTGGTGCCCAAATTTTTAAGGCGTGAAGGTTCCATGGTGTTGTCAAGCGAAATACTTGGGATCCTCATCGACAACAGATTTTCCTGGAGACCTCACGTGGGCTCTATAGTGGCGGAGGTCAAGGCAGTAACCAAGGCGCTTTATCTCCACTTGGTGGAGAGAGTTGGCTTTCTCTGCGAAACAAACGATAATTGTATTTGTCTTAAATTCAGTTAATAATGACATAGGCGTCTCGGTTGCTTGGACCTACGACTACACTGCGATAACGTCGGCACTTCAAGTGCGACAGAACAAATTGCTGCGGATTCTGATAAAGGTGCGTGGTTTATGCGAAATAATGCTCTCCACCGGGACCTTCGGCTGGCCTCTTTAAACATTGTCTTCCAACGCCATGCAGTGGTCCTTTAAGACAGACTCACCAGGCACACTAAAATCGCCTCTGGTGAGCAAACTTATTCACAGCCAATGGGACGGGGCACGTTATCGACGCCCACGTGATGCGTGTAAGCGCTAGTTTTATTTTTTTTTACGTTAATATGTAAAAAAATAATGACATCCTGAATGCTATTTGTGATATAGCTGCGATCATTCCTGTTGAGAGCTCGAGTATTCGAAGTTTTTAACTCGATCGAGCACTAGGAACTGTCATTAATAAATAAATAAATAAATTTACTAAACAAAATATAAAAAATGCTTAATATTGGGAAACTTATTCCGTTATGGCTTTGTTCTTATTTTATAAGGGGGTCCGTTCAACACATAGTATCCCAGTTAGATGAAATAGATCAGGAAACCGAGGCATTTGCACTTTGCTTTTTAAATAATTTTAACTAGTATAATTTTTAATATATTTAGATTATTTTAAAACTGTATATATATTCATTTCAACCTTAATAAACAAGATATTTGTTCTGTCTTTGGTAGCGTTTGTTCAGTCTGTAAAGGCTGACTCAATTCTCTAGAGGACAATATTTTTATTATTTGGTCTATAGGGTTGAATTTAGTATTGTAACTTACGGTCTAAAGGACAGTTTATAAAAGAGAGCTTAATGCCTAGAGGGCGTGTGCATTCATTAAACTTGATAGCTATAAACACTGTTAACTTTCGAAGCTTCTAGTTAGTGTGATAACCGTTATGATATTTAGAAGGTATTGTTAATATTTTTAAGGCAATAATATAAGTGTCTGTATATCGAAATATTTATTAAAATTGAGTTATTAAAAAAAATTTTGAATTTTTAATTTAAAAGGACAAAAAGTTCTAATGTTCTGTAAAAATTTATTAAAGAAAAGGCAAGCTACACTAAAATATGATTAAATATAAGAACGCTAAACTTTTATTAAACGTTTTTAGGATTATCGTAAATGGGTTAAATATTAGTGTTTAATAGTTCACCTGGTGGTAAACTAATTTGTTGACCCTCAAGGAGTGTTGATCCCATGAGTTTGTCAGCTTCCTGTTGTGACATCTTTTTTGTCCAAGTGACTTGGGTATAAATAATATTTTCTCTTATATTCTGCAATAATAAGAGTAAGCCAGACAAAATATCTTTTGATTTAATAATTAATAAAGACTTTAAAGATAGTTTATATTTTGGAAGTTTTTGGTCTCTATGAAAATCTTTATTTAATTTTCTAATAGTTTACGGACTTAAGTTGATAAGATCTTATGAAACTAATATATGAATGCATAACCAGTGCCAGAAAAACCAATTCACGTATAACAACTTAAATTTGACGTCTACTGAATGTTTATTATCAGGTTTGAACCAGTTCCTTGGAGCCTTGTTAAAATACACCTAAATTACATTTGTGACTTTTACTGTTTATTTTACAGTATAGTCCTAAGTGTATTTCTTTCTAGGGGTAGTAGCTGGGGTGGCGGCTAGAACAGTTACTGCTCCCTTAGAGCTAATAAAAACACTTTTTCAGCTTCAAGAGACGCCCATTTCAAGCACCAACGAAAAAGGATTTCATGGTACAGTTTTTTAAGCTACAATAAATACTTCAAATAATTAAAAGAGTTAACTAATAAACTAATTCACGAAAAATTTATTAAAAGATCAACTTTTTTGAAGCAAACTAAACTATTTTATAGGCTTTCTATTAATAAAGTTACAACTTAGGAGTTATTGATGCTCTTATTAAATTGAGCAGACAAGAAGGGTTTTTGTCTTTATGGAAAGGCAATGGCGTGGGTTGCTTGCGCCTGGTTCGTATAATTTTTTTTATTACTTAAAGCATTGCATTACGTTGCGTATATTTATAAACGGGTTTTATTAATTGTCATGTTCCAGGTTCGAATGCCCCCATTAAAATATGATTTTTTCTTATTCAACTTTTCCGGTAAAGCTGTAATAAATTTTTTTAGGGTCCTTATTCTGGCCTTAAGTTTTTGCTGTATGACAAACTGAAATTACAAGTTTACCAGAACGAGCTAAATGCCTCGAAAAGGTTATTCTTAGGAAGTTTGGCAGGCATTATTGCAACTGTGGTCACTTACCCTCGTATGTTTTTTTTATAAACAGTAACAACTAACCTATTATCACATCAATCCTTTAAAAATTCTTCTTTATTTTTCTTTTAAAATATCGTAATAATAAAGTTGATATCGTAAAGACAAGAATGACCGTTCAAAAAAGAGGCGAAGTTTACAAAGGAACCTCTGATGCTCTCTTAAAGATGCTTAGAAAAGAAGGTACCTCATCCCCTTCTGCCCCTCGTTTATTTTGTACTTATATTAGTGCGCTTGTTAAGTGATATAAAAGCTTTATTATTATCCTCTTTTTTTTCAGGTACGCATTCCCTCTTCAAAGGGCTGACTCCCACTCTAATAGGCGTCATCCCCTTTGAAGGAGTCCAGTTTGCCGTTTATGAGACCCTTAAAGGTTCTATCCAGCACCATCGTTGCATTCCTTGTTATATCTGTTGCCACACGCCTAGAATATACAGTAGACAGCAGGTGGCCCTCTTGGAGATGGCCGGAAAGCAAATTGGACTCAGACGCCGTAAACTTCTTTTTAGTGTTTTTGTTCTATGCTCCTTTGTACATGTGCGGTGCAATCAAGTGCCATTAAACAAGACGTTTCGCTGCCCGGAGTAGGCGCAATTATTTCCCTAAAGTGTTAAATATTTTGTTTTATTGTTGCTGAAGCATAAGTTGTAAAAGTCTTCAGTAAGTTATTATTTTATAGATGGACATTTTGGTGATTGGTTCACTCGCCGGTGCTGCAGGTCAGACGGTTTCATATCCGTTTGATTTAGTCCGGAAACGCATGCAGGTTTTCAAATCCCAGGGATTTTCCGTTTCACGAAAGTGACAGTATCGTTAAACCACGAGGTCAAAGGCATGATTCGGTCGAGATACACCGGAACAGTACACTGCTTCTGCTGTGTGTACAGAGAGGAAGGGGTTGGCGGACTATTTAAAGGGTCTTTCCCAAACTTGCTGAGAATAGTGAGTAGGAAACCTCCCCCCCCCCTTTTTTTTTTATTACTTTTTATGCAGGGCCCCTACGCCGCTGTCGTGTTTTTTACCTATGAGTCGGCTAAGTCCTTTTTTTTGTTAAACCGTCGAAACAGCGAGGAGTAAAGCAACTTTACAAGGTGTCACGAAGAGGGGCACAACGGCATAAAAGAAAGGAAGGGAAGGCCCTGGAATGTTGTGTCCTAGCAAACTACTAGCTTGGGCGTTTTTATAGCTAAACATTTAAACTGCTTTATTTTAATTATTTACTGTAATAAAGGGGCTGTAAAATTGCTTGATTTGCATGAGATTATTGTTTTTCTATTTTAGTATATTATTTCCGTCGGCAGACAGAATTTTCCTTGAAACTAGTAAACCCAAATACAGCGCCAGCCTTTCAGGCTCGAAGGCCGGGAAAGCAGCTCTTACTTCGTCGACACTCTGTTATTAAGTGTACCATAAGAAAAAGCGACTAAGTGAGAGGAAATGGCGCTGCACCAATGGGGTTCTGGTTTGCTTGAAGAACATAAACAAGTCGGTTAGGTGCCTTGCGCCAACTCCCGTCTTCCATATAAAAAGCAATAGAAATGTCAATTAAAAGCTTATTTCTAAAAGTTAAATTACTAAAGGCGCCAAAAAACAGTTTTGCAAACTGTTAGGCTTAATTAATATTATTAAAGTGCCGAACATATTAGTAAATCTTGAATAAAAGAAAAAAGCTATAAATATATGTTAAATAAGTGCTATTAAAATAACTTTAGAGTTGTTCGCTGTTAACTGGAAAGTGTTAAAGTTTATCTTAAAAATATATAATAAATTTTGCACTGGAAACGGGGCACCATAGCAACAGTTAAAGACGACCTGAAAACTGGTAGGAAACTTAGACAGATCGAGTGGGCAGCATTTAAAGTTCTGATTTAACAAAATTTCACTAGACATAATGTACCCTATAGGTTAATGTAGAAGTAAAAAGTAGAAAAAGGAAGCGTTAAAAAATTATATTGGTCTTCATATATTGTTGACTGGATCAGGTGTTTTTATGTTCAAAGTTGACTCAAAAAAATTTCTATAAGTTGTAGGTGTAAGATGTATGTCTGTCCAATAACCTTTTTTGAGAGTAGAGTCCAGCGCAGACAGTACGGGAGTATCGGTTTTGATAAAAGAAGCTGGATATAAATAATAAACAAGGACTGACATAGGATAGAGGATTACTAATCAAGGCTATTAATATTCTATTACAGAAACAAATCTGAAATCTAAATAAACTACAAACAATAATTTAGACTAAAAGGGGAAGAGTCAAGTCATACTACCAAAGATGTTTTACATTTCTTAAAAAAAAACACTTTCTTGAGTGCAGGGCTCTTTGAATGGGCATTTGGAAAGAGAACGTGATTGCAATGCTTCTATACAACTATTAGAAGTAGAAGGGGCAATTGGAGTCGAGGTTCGGGGGGGAGAATAGCTGTGCTACTTTAAAAAGAAGATGCAAATCATTTTAAAGCATTATAAAGTGTGGAGCAAACCATTTCACTAAAGGCGATAGAAGAAGTGTTAACAACTATATTTTCTGCTGAAGCCTTCCACTCCCCACTTAAGGAGAGATTTTTCATATGTTGCAGAGGATCTTTTCTTTTGATTTGGAAAAGTGTAAAAAAGTTCTCCCAAACCTAAGTTGATAAAAAATATGAATGATAAAAATAGAAAAAAAGGGAAAATGGATGGCTGACTTTACAACAATATATTTTTATGAAACCTGCAAAATCTGGTAAAAATATTGAGCGTTTTGAACTAATTTTTTTGATTGTTGTAACATATTATAAGATATTTCTTTTATAAAAACAAAATCAGAGTCTATTTCCTGTAAAATTTTAGTAATTTGTTGTTCCAGGAATTCTAATTTGTCAATTTCAAAGGGCATTCCCAACTAAAAATGAGCTGCGTAGAAGATAATAAATGTTCAGTGCTCGTTATAAAGGATTGAAGTATACCTACCCATACCGGAAGGTATGCAAGGGTTATCTAAAGTTTGACCTGATAGATTTACCACCACGCCATATCTTGGACGTCCTCCTAATTTATTTATTAATAGCATTCTGCCTACTACAGGCGGGTTTTACTAAATTACTCCTCCTAATTTCCACCATTTGGGGAAGTAGACAGTGGAAAGTATTAAATTAATATTGAAATCAGTGTGGAGTTGTGTTTTTGAACGATAAATTAGAAAATACCGTCGGGACCCAGGACTTTCTTTGAATTAAGTGATAGAACAATATTTTCAAAGGCGCACGAGTAGTTGGCTTAATCTAATTACATATGTTAGTTAGGTCTTAAAGCAGTTAGGGTGAACACATGCTTGAAGTGATGTTCATTTAGGTCGGGCTCTAACATAATGAATGAGCTTCCACGGGAAGTCATTTATTAAGTCATAACATGGCCCTTAGAAGCGCAAACCTCGTTACTATTAGAATTTATGAGGGTGAGATAGATCACGCCACCATCCAAGACCGAAAAAGAGAGCCGCGTCATTGGGAATCGAACCAAAGTTTTTGAGTATGCGCGTTAATGCTCTTAATTGCTGAACTACGATGTCGACTCTCAATCTCGGAATAATGAATGGTTTTACGTATTTAACCTGTTAGTTACTACAAAAAATTATGAATACCTACCTGGTTACCCGCTCCTTCTAGTATTTCATCAAATTTGACTTTCCTATTGTTCTAAGATTGCTTTACTCGACTAGTTTTTTAAGAACTTCATTAGAAACTTGGTAGTGTTAAGGGTCGACGTCTCGTAGTAAAGGCTTTTCTACCCTCTTTCTTATAAAGACTTGCCACGTTAAAAAATTTTCACTCCTGCTAATCTCGAAAGAAAGTTACATACTGTGAGTTATAACCAAGTTAATATTTGATTTGATATAATATTGTAGTTTAACGGAATTCTAGCAACTATTACTTTGCAAATGGGCCTACGTGTTTTAATAAAATATTCAATCGACCTGTTGTCCTAAAAATTTTCTCCGTTTAATACGAAGGTTATTTGGGCTTCTCGCACAATACCAAACTTTATTATCAAATTCGAAATATTCTTATTTGGTGCAAAAGTACAAATAAAACTTGTAATCTTTATGTTTACATTCCACTAAATAAATTTGCAATTATCTAGGCTAATGACTCGACGAGTAAAACAGCGGTAAGTTTCCGAACCAAATACTAAGCAACTGAAGGCCTGAATTTAATAAAAGCGAAAATATCGCATTAACAAAGTTAAAGCTATCATGTAACTATAACTCGTATAGATATAATTTGCTTCTTAATATATATGTATTTTGCTCAGGTTATTTGTTTCTTGTGTCATTAGGGTTTAATTAGAGTTGCTTTATCTTAACAACAAAACTTGTTGTGAACAAGGCTTCTCTCACCTCATAAATATAGTTTATAAAACTTGATCTGACCTAACCGGAATTTAACATAAACATAATAATATGCATAGTAAGTTACGTAATATAATAAGTTAATAATATACTCGTTTTGAATAGAGTGTAAATTCTATGTGTAAATTAAATTAGTCTGAAGCTATATAAATAGTATAAATTTCTTATTATTTACTGCATATCCTAACATTAAAATTAACTGTCACCCAATTCTGTTTAGAATTCAAACATTTTTACAAAGTAAATTAGAAGGTCGGTGATAGATTTAAAAGTTAGTTCATGGCAGCAGTCTATTTTCTCTTACTTTTCGCTGTGTTATGCCAGATTGATCCGTTTAATCTTTTAACTCTTTAACGGGCGAACTCTGGGGCTTAAAATAAAATTTTTTTTTTCTGCGAAATCACTTCCAAAGTTGAAACTATAAATTAAGGTCCAGTATTTGTTTTCGAAATTTGATTCTATACATCCCAACTAATATTTCAAAAAAAAAACAGTAAAACAAATGTTTACTTACCTATCTATCCAAAAACAAACTTCTTACAGCCAGAATGAACACTTTTCTTATCCATAAAAATATCGCGCCACGCATGCTCAACTTAACTTTCACTGGCATCTAATTTACCACTCTTTATGGTTTGCTGTCTAATCCGTTAGAGCACGATACTCAAACTTACTAGAGATTGTTTCAGACACCAGGTATGTCATTTAGGTTCAATTTCATAGACCTACTCTTGTAACTGAACCAGACGACAAGTGGTATACATATTAACTAGTAACCTACGAAGAGTTAATATAATAATTCGGAGTTCAATAACGGTGGCTTTCAAGCGTCTGTCTTGACCTTATTTGGTTACTACTAAATTTGAATAAATGTTAAAATACTAATACTGTATTCGTAATCAAAAGAAGTTAATTTTTTAATCATTTTATAAGGTAAGAAGGTATATTAGAAATTGGTGGAGTAATAAATGATTTCCTGCCCCCTAAGTTGAGAGTCCACTTTTTGTAAGGTGGAATTTATATCACATAAGAAGGTGGATATAACACGAAATTTTCGTAATATTTAAAGGCTCTTGGTTTGGATACAACTAGCACAATGAGAACAAAAGTAACCTTTTCAATATTTGATTTACAATAAGAACTTTTAATTATTAACTAGTCTTTGCTACGCTCAAAGTTACAAAAAAAACCATTTTACCTAGTAAAAATGTTACTTAAAAAAAATATGCAGATGATTTATTTTTGAATCGGAGGTATAAAAATATACTAAAATTTTAGCATAGGAGTAAATTATACTTTTGTTAAGGAGATACTTTATAAACCTATAAAAATGCTATTTAATTATAATAAAATCGTTGAAAGCTATAATTAATTTCCTTATGTTAAGGCTTTCTAGAAATACTTTGAAGTGTTAAAAAGCTCTCTATCTTCTCGCAAGTTCATATTAACGCTACGGCGCAAGTAAATTAAAACTAAAGCTAACAACAAGTTCGGTATATTAATTCTTATCGCATTTCCAACCAGATATAAAATTAAAGGAAGGCAGTTACAGCTAATTGCACTACGTGTAAAATCCTACGCAAGCACACGCTTAAGTTTCTAGTGGGGTTATGCAGTGTTATTAAGATTTTATTCGATCATGTGTTACGAAAAACCTAAATAATCAGGAATCTTTCGTAGACAGACTCATTTTTAATTTTTCTAATTAGCTATTGTGGTAGCAACGCTTTGTAACCAAATTTTTCCCTGTTTTTAGTAAAGTTCACGTTTGTTCTCTTTATAGTTTAAGCGTCCTTCTTGCTTCAAGGCTCTGTTCTGTTTGTTTTTCCTTAGTTATTTAATGAATAATAAAACCATATATTCTATTATAATTTTATATCCTTCTATTAATACTTTTCTAGCAACTCCTTATCATCTTTGTATAAGTAACGGTAGCCTTTTGACGTATTACATTTCTAGGTTTAAAATTTTATTTGTTTTGTAATTTTTTTTACTTGCGTTGCTTTCACGAGCTGAAGGTCTTCGAAAAGCGTATACTAAAGGCGGTAAAGTAATATAGGAAAGTCGAAGTACTAGAAAGCACTGTAAATTTATTTTTTAGACTCTCCAAGCGCACCAAACTCAACTGCGGAGGGTGCGCGAGCCAAACTTATATAATCACAAGTGCACTGCCTTTAAATGTTACCCCTTATTATGAACACCCCACCCACTTCTTTCAACTAAATCAAAGATTGTAGTTGAAGTGACTTTATTGTATACTCAACTTGTACAACATCTGATCTCGATAGAAGGGGGCCGTTAAGAATTTACAAGAGGCCGATATAATAGATTTCTTTGGCTTAAAAGTTTTCGAGTGGTCCTCTAAGAACAACCAGTATTCCCACAATTCATTATCATTGGGCAGCTCAGAAGGATTTAATCCCAAGAAACTTCTCCAGCGAATCCGCCCATCCAGTGGCAAATATTCTGCCCAGCCATAAACGCCCATGCTTTTATTAAACGTTTGAAACAATTTCTTCTTTTCACAAACGGTAGTAATAGGGCTATGAAATAACTCACTAACGTAGATTTTATTATTTAATTTTCCCTAAGTTCATAAGGTTAGCGCTTGACTTATTACCCTTAATCCTCTTTTTTTCATCTCGATGTCGCCTAAACGTCTTTCCGTTAAAATTAAACTCAAACCCACCGGTATCTGAAATTTTTGCTACAACAGCTGGCCCCAACCAGTTCTCGTCCTTGACCTTAAAGTTATTTTTAAAATAAATTATGTCACCTACGGGAACTAACTTCACGTATTTGTCATAATTTTCTTTTATTTCTTTACATAGATGGCCTGGCTTCTTTCAAGTTGGCGTACTTTACCCTTTACTTCAGTACTTTTGAAGTTTATCGGAAACCACATTTTCCATGATGCTATTTTCCATCATCTTTCCCTCTTCAATAAAACTAAAGTAATCCACTGGAGTTTTTATAAGCATGAATATAGGAGGCTCACCAGGGGCAGCCTTTTGCGACAATAAATTTATTCATCGAGTATTTCATCCATTCAAAGTTTTCTTCGGAGCATCTTTGTCTTAGGGCCTTTTTTAAAGTTTGTATAGCACGTTCCGCTAGCCCATTACTTTGATGGCGGTCTACAGTTTTACTACATGGCGCTTGATACTTTTGCATAAAATTCTTCACATCAGTACCTAACAAAGACCAATCATTTATCAGCTATAACTTCGCGGATTTCTGCATATCACAAATAGTTTCCAGTAAATCTATTACCTCTCCTACTTTTACCAACTTCTTAACAGAACATTACGAGGATATCTGTAAGCCAGGAGTAGTGCACTGTTTTAACCAGAGTTTGTCTTTGGTAGCTTGATTATACCCATAGACAAACTGTATAATGGTAGCTTATGGCCTTTCAATAATAAGCGTGGGTTAGACTTATTAGA